ATATTATACTTAAATATGATTTTCGAAGAATGATTAGCGCATTTGGATGTTCTTGTTTTATAACACATGTGTTTCTTTAAGAATTTTAAAACATCCTTTTTCGAAAGCAAAAGGGATACATAGTTCATACAATGTTGCTCCGTCATTATTCTAAACAGCATATTTTTTTATATATGACTATTTTAAATAAAGTTTGAATTCTCTGTACACGAACTTCTGGGCCGCATTTCCAAATAATTTAGAATTATTATTTTGTTTTACTGTAAACGTATTTGGAAAATTTTCTTTTTTCATATATACACGGGTTTGACAGGTTTCATTTACCCAGGGCGACACTTTTGAGAGTCGACAATTTTTATTCCCCAAAAATTATTTTATAAATAAATTATGTTTATAATTATAATTTTACAGGTCTGTGTTTTGACAATTTTATATGTGTATAAATCATTATATGGGTATAAATCATTATATATTATATTTAGTTATAATGGGTTTAGTTTTCAAAATAAGCTCGTTTCTGGTGCGTGAAGTGTATAAACTCAAGAGGCGGTACGGTGGAGTACGCTTTCTTTCATTCTACTATATCTTAAAAGATAACCTTTAGATAATGTCACTATCATATTCAATTGGACAAAAATACAATATGATTGGAGTAATATGAAACAGATACTTCTGAATCAACAGTAGGTTATTTTGATTAATTATTTACTGTAAGAAAAGTGTATGTGTATTACTCCTGACTCTTTAAACTATCGGAAATTTATGGATATCACTTCTTTGTGAAGGTTTATTCTATAAACGTTGTATCCATTGCCGTTAATTCAGTAATTAAATCCATTTCAGTTCGACCCTTTCTTTTTATCATCCGCCAAATTAATTTTTAAAAACTTCTGCGGAGAAAAATATAATCTTCCACTGTAGCGCATTTAGTAAATAATAAGCTGTAAATGGAAAAGAAACATGCCAAGAAATACAAAAAACATAGCATGACGTGGTCAAAACTAAAGCAGTAGGTATAAACTGAAAGTATATTTGTCCAAAAACTGAAGAAAGTGAAAAACGTGCAAGGCTGCTCATGCAAATTTGCTCGTGGACAACGTGTCCTTGCGCTGCAGGCGAACAAGCACCGGGAAAGCCACGGAGACAATCCGAACACCGCGCCGAGTGCCGCGTTGAAGCATGGGGCTTTTAACCCGTTCCGGTCTCGCTAGTCATGAATATACGACTCTACTTAGAAAAGTTATCAAAGAAGAGAATTATTTTTCCACGACGACGTCCCCGGACACTGACCCACGCCCGGAGCAACCCGTCGGGCTTCGGCGAGCGAGGATCAGGGCTGACCAGTTCCACCGAAACCGAAACCCGGCGCGGCGCGGCGCGGCGGTCACCGAAACGAGCTGTCGCCCAGGCCGCACGATCGGTCGAATGCCGCGCATAATGATGCTTGTGTCATCACACTGTTTGCGACAGACGATTCGAAATTAGTTTTTCACGGTATTGAGTAAGCTTCAACTCGGTAACATTGCAGTAACAGAGGAATTTTTTAAGAAAATAAGTAAGAAAGGAGATTCAAAGGGCTAATTTTAATACTTGTATTCAGGTACGTAGATTGTCATTATTAAATATAAAGGATATGTAAATGAAAGGGTGTACATATGAGGTTTTGCTTTAAGGCGCGTTTATTTCTCTGAGGTAACAAATTTACAACTGTGACTTTTTCTTTCCTTTAATTCCGGGTTGAATACTTTGTTATACAGTACAACAACGTGATTTATCTAATGAAGTTGTAATGTACATGATGTGAGTAAATTATTTTCCATTTATGGACACACATCGTTCTTACACAAAAAATACATTCTAATTCAATAAAGGGATGTTTATAAAATTAGTTATTTAAATTTAAGCTATCTTTTTCATCTTACATTTGAAGAATGAATGATGAACAATGAAACATATGGGAAATATGTTAATAATAAAAAAATGTAAAATGGGAAACTCAGTGCTTTTTGGGAAAATCTACACCATTAATAATTGTAAATTATATTTTTTAAAAGGAAAATAGTGAGTATTATAATTTATAAGATGTAGAACAAAATATCGTGGCATACTTTTGAGAATAGGCATTATACTTATATTTCTGCAGGGGTTACGCGGGGAAGGCATGATGAAGTCTTATCATATTCATACAATCTATATCTTTTAGAAAAAATGCCTTCGCAAATATACTATGTGGCCAAATACACAGTGAACTTCAAATCCCTTGTATTGGGGATAACTTAATAAACGTTACCTAAAAGTGTTTCTCTTTCCTAACGTCCTCTCCAAAAGCTGTCTTTTTCCATCTTGACCTTCATACCAATATCACCAATAGAATTACATCACAATGCCCAAAGGACATCTTGAAATACCATTAATACAACTTAAACTGTTTCAATCTCACCTATGCTGTGTTCAATCTTTGCATACGTCCGAATTCTAACAATATTATAATAAATATATTCTGTAGTAAAACAAAGCATTATGTAGGACTCTAGGTCGATTAGATGTAAGATAGAGAATAAGAACTAGTGGTGCTAGTACCAGTAATTCTTTCTAGCATGATTTGTAATTTTTGCAATTAAAAAAAAAGAACGTGAATCATTTTTATACGAGTAATTTTCTATCACACTCTCACACACATACATATAAAAAAAAATGGATCCACTTTTGAAAATTTTTTAAAAATTTCTTTGACATTTCATGATGTTTCATCCCCCAATATCAATTATATTTCAAATTCAAGGGGCCGCCATGTTTGCCAACTAGATCGGGAACATTATTTTTTACAAAAATTATGCCCTACGGTTTAACCGCTTGATAAAATCGGACAAACGGACGAATGGACAGACGGACGAACAGACACTTCCCCGTAAACCAATTTCTCGGTATCAAGAACCCGAAACGTGTATTCTAACTACACAATATGTTAGAGGTAGTCATTTACTACACACAGGAAGAACAATTAAATTTAATGGTTGAAGCAGAGAGTTCACGATACGAATTAATAAATAATCAAAACACAACAAACATACTTTTAATATTTATTAACACATTTAGGAAGATCAATTATCCCCTTTTATGGTATCAGGAACCCACAAAATGAATTTTTCTGTCGCAAAATCACCTTTTTGTTGCAAACTTCAATATACTTTTTCTATACTACGTAAGTAGTACACGAGATAGTAAGTGAAAATCTGTTGTCTAGGCTATCCGGGACGAGCCGCGTCAATGTCATGATGGCTAACGTTTCGGCCAGCGTATTGTGGCCTTCTTCAGAGCGTACTGCTGCTTGACCTACCCTAGACAACAAACTCCGGCCGCGGAAGCCTACGCAACCATAAGTGAAAATCTGCCGGCGGCGGCGGCGGCGGCGGCGGTGCGCGTGTGGGGCGGGAGCCCGTGGCGAGGCGCGTGCTGCGGCGGGTGCGCCGGGTGGGTCGTGGGCTGCGGGCCGGAGAGGTGGCGGGCGGGCGGCCGTTGACCCTCCGCGCCCAAACGCCCACCGGGCGGGGGCTCCGGCGGAGACCGCCCTTCGCGTTTTTGCGCCGCCTCGCGGCGCCTTTCGTTCGTTCCACCGTTGCCACCGACGGGTTACGGGTTCCTCGGAACAGCACAGTAGGCCGACAGAGCGCTGGTTCAACGGAAGGAATTGGAGCACGGGAATTCGTAATTCGTTGTACTTCACTATCTCCAGCTTCTGTTATGCATTATGCCACTGTATCATTCGGGAATAATTTGATTACTACAGAAATCCATCTCAATTGTTTATCGTCTTCAAATCAAATTAAGGCAACATTTCTCTGAATTCTAGAAATTCACAAAAATATTAACAGTCAGAGATGGCTCAATGCACCAACTGATGACAGTCCGAGGCGGACCCGACAGGGGCAAGATTTTCACCACTGGCTTGACAGCTAGGTCGAATTCAGTCGCTGTCTGGAGAAACAGGCTGCTCTAGTGGGTAGTTTGCCATGAATTCTTCGATCAACACCAGGCGAACGCCAGAGCAGTACCCTTACAAACGGGCCCCTTACACACACATTAGCGCCAACATGTACTACACTACTATATGCCGAGAGACTAGTCGGGAGCTTAGAGCTTGTCCCGACTGGGGCGGTGGGAGATACCTGGTTGGGGGAACCCCATTATCCAGTCGGAGAATCTCGCCATACAGCAGGGGAAGATCACCGCCATCTTCCCGAGGGAAATATGCACTTCACTTACGGGACTAATGACCTCGGTAGTTGACGCACCCGGAACCATTAACAACCAACTAACAAAAATATAAAACTACATTTAAATAATATTGCCTCAGTTTGGGTCCCAACCGCTAAGCAATTTTTTTCAGTTAATTTTGCCGGAAGCATACATTTCTTTGTTCTTACAAAATATTTCCATTACAAAACACTTTCATACTTGAGGAGATGACTTCTTTTTTTTAAAAAAAAATTAGAAGATGCATGAGTCGTAGGTATTAACAGACAGTGCCTTACCCCGTTCGAAAAGAACTCCACATTCCAAACCTGTGTGAATGAATCTCAACTAGAAAGTGCTGTCCTCTCGGCGCAATTGATCGGAGCAGCCTTTAAGTTCTCGGCGTTGAAGGCAAAGGACTCATTTTCAACGTAAGGTGTAGGTGCTTTCGCCATGTGGCGTGGTTGCTTTCTCGTTCTACCTCGTATCACGTCATCCCATACCACATCATCCAGTTTTTGTCATCATTTGTCCAGGAAATTGGACGACATTCTATCTATGCACAAGACAAGTGGCACCCCTAAAAATATTGTCGTTTCAGGTAAATGAAGAAAATAGTTTCGTATATTGACTATTTTTTAGAAAAAAATAGAGTAAATGAGATGTACATTAGAATACAATAGTTTATCTTGGACTGTGAAATAAATGGCCCGGCTCAGATTAAAACGGTTTTTCTACAACATGACACTTTGTAAACATATCTACACCTTCACAAAGTCCTGCTTCGTCCTTGTGTAACTTATGCTTGCCCCGACTACTTGTTCATCCGTCAAACACTGAAAAAAACTTTTCAAAATAAAGTCTTGAGAACAACTGAAAATGCTCTCTGGAATGTTTCAAAGAACCGAATTCATAAAGACCTCGATTTCTAAACTATCTTCCAAAACATATCCAGCATCTCAGGATTGTTATACTCAAAACTACCAACTTGTCCCGACCAGAACACTTTAAGTAAGTAAAACGTCCGATTTTACAAACAAGAATACGGTCTAGTCTTGACAAGGACAAATTTCGCCCTCCTTAAACCAATCCCATGACTATCAAGTTCCCACTCTAATGTATAGGAATAAAGTCGTTTGAATACCTGAAATCAAAAAAATAAATTCTATACTGCTGGATAGTTGAAGAGGATCCCAGATTATACCGTCTACGTAATAGTAAAACATAGCAAATTGTTCTATGTATGTGTGAAAGTTGTATATACCTGTTCTGTAAAGGGAATCCAATGAACCAGAAAATAATAATAATAATAATAATAATAATAATAATAATACAATTTTTATGTTGACAATTTTGAAGAACGCGTACTGAGAAATAGGCATAAGTGACCTGTGTACAGAAATGATAATGGCATTCATCCACCTACACTACAATAAGAAAGTTGTCTCCTAAGACATTGCCACAAACATTCTAAGCTACAGGCTATTAGCTAATACCAACCAAACAACTGTTCTCCATGCCATGACAATCATAAGTTCTTTAATATTAGTACATTATCAATCTCAAAGCACTTTTAGAACACTGGAAAAGCGGATATGGTCGATGTTGCTCATAGAGTAAATTATGACACTATAATTACGATATAAAACACAAGGGCGTCTTAAAATAACTGCTAACTTCAAGCTGAAAGTAAATAATACACATCTTCAATTCTAGAGTACTTAACAGTTCAACTAAGGCTGAAACCGTACATTTGTTTTTAAAATGACATGAAACTCAGAACAAACTTGTTTACGAGCATATTATATTATTCAGGAAATCAGAATTCGCAGTCAAACCGGCTGGCATATTCACATTTTCGAGGATACCGCCTCATGCGAATCAGATTAAAGAAAACCTCCATCGAAATTTCATTTGAATTCACAAAGAAGTCCGGAAATTACTTTTCGACTTGAGAGAAACTCAGTCGTGTGTCGCAACGAAGTTCAAGAGAAGTAAAAAATATCTTTACTTGGGCAGAACCCAACCAATTCAAAAGAACGCAAACGTTTACCTTGTCGTAAATGTACACTCAAACGATGTGTTGTGAAGTCAATAATAAACTCTTACTTCGCACCCGCAGGAACTGAAACGTCAGCATTCCGATAGTATGAAGACATTTCACAGAATAGTGTCAAATAGCAGAGTGTAAGAATGTGTTTCCACGTGGAGGACTGTGGCTGAGCTTCGAGGTTGGGAGAGATCGAGAGGAGTTTGGAATTAACAATTCTTTAAAATTATAATGCAGTTTCAGACTATCAATATTTAGTATTCGATATACATTCAATGTAGTAAATTCACAGCCAGTCGTCCATACAAATTTGAATTTTTGAATTTAATAAATATAAAAATATGTACAATGTAGAGACGCCTGTTGCTGATACCTCTTAATATAACTCCATCGTCATCAGAGGCAAATTACGGATTACACTAATACTGTATGTAATTGTGAAATAACATAATACCATCTCACGTTTCTGGAACATTTCGAATTAACTTGAAAACGCACTGTTCAGCATATTTTTACATTTAAAATGTAATTACCTGTAGAAAGGATAACAATACACATACTCTGATTCACATACCGGCAGTAACATTGAACTATCCTTGTCTCAAACTTCACAGAGAGACTTCACGATGAAGCGGGGCGGGCCGAGGCGGGACAGACCTCGAACGCGGCCCTTCAGCAAGCGCAGGCCTGAGGAGGAGGAGGGGGGAGGAAGAGAAGGAAGAGGAGGGGGAGGAGGAGGGGCAGGAGAGGGGGAGGAGGGGAGAGGGTGAGGGAGGACGGCAGAGGGAGGAGGGGAGGAGGGGAGGAGGGGAGGAGGGGAAGGAGGGGAGGAGGGGAGAGGGGGAGGAGGGGAGGAGGGAGGCGGGGAGGAGGGGAGGAGGGAGGAGGGGAGGAGGGGAGGAAGGAGGAGGGAGGAGGGAGAGGGGAGAGGAGGAGGGGGGAGGGGAGGGGAGGAGGAGGAGGAGAGGAGGAGGAGGAGGAGAGAGGAGAGAGGAGGAGAGGAGGAGGAGGAAGTGGAGAGGAGAGGAGGAGGAGGAGGAGGAGGAGGTGGAGGATTGCGGCGGTTTGGCGCGCGTGGTGGCGGAGGTAGAGGTAGAGAGGCGCCTGCCGGACAGCAAGTGCTACAGGTTTTGCGTCACTTCTAGCGTCGCGCCGTGACCCGCCGCGCCGCACGCTCCGCTCCGCACCGCACCGCCTCCGCCACCCTGCTCCATGCCGGCCGCGCCGTCCCTCCCTGACCGTTCCTCCCCCCCGCCCACACACACCAACACAACACCGGCACCCCGCCGCCAACGCCGCGCCCCGGCCTCGCAGCCGGCCCCGGCCAGAATAACTGTTCCACGAATGGAAGAAAACAACGAGGTTTTGATTTTACCGCCCCGCTCCGCCGACCCGCGCGCGGCCTCGCTCCGGCCCCCCACTCCCCGCTATCCGTCCAGCCTCCATTCTTCCCGTCCCGAACCGGCCACACCCCTGTGGCTCGTGTGCCCTCCTCCCCGACGGCTTTTAAATCGTACACACCCGTCTAACAGCTGGATATACTGTTGTGGCCGGGAGTCTCAGATAACATTCTAAAGAGGTTGCCGCGGGTCCTAGGACTGACGCGCCGCGCCCGGCGGCAGAGCATGCGCCCATGGCATGCGCTCGGGGCGAAGGTGAGGAGGAGCGATGGTGGTGGGGGTTACAATGGGCGAGAGACCGCGAGTAGGAAAGAGTGTGGTGGGGGGAGGGGGGTTTGGGAGGCGAATGTACGACCGAGCGTGTAGGAGGAAGTGGACGAGAGTGGTCGGTAGCGGTCGGTCTGGCGGACCGGGAGGTTGAGGGGAATTTGGCCAGTTGACTGGCGTGGATTGGGGGCTTGGGCGGGCGAGTGTGTTTTTCGCCGGAGAGTGAGCGACGTGTTGAGGGAGAGTGGGCAGGCGAGTTCGGCGCGACAGGGGTCGGGCGAGTGAGTGGGTGGAGTGGGCAGGCGAGTGTCGGGGTGAGAAGGCGGGCGAGTAGGTGGGTGTTTGGGCGGCAGTGGCTGCAGTGGGCGGGGAAGTGAGGATCGAGAACGCATGTGAGAAGTGAGGGTCGCGAGTATGCGAACGGAGTGGTATGTGACTGGGCGGCGGGAGAGGCGAGTGGGTGGCGTTTGGGAGGCGAGTAGGGAGGGGTGGATGTGCGCGAGTGGGTGGGCCAGTGGTGGCGGTGTGAGGCGAGCGGGTGAGTCGAACGACAGGGGACTATTTTTGCTTATGAGTGGGGGCAAGTGGGGCGGCGGGAGTTTCCGGGTGTGAGTACGTGGACAGGCAAGTGTTGGGTGGAGAAGGCAGCCGCGTTGGCGGAGTAGCGGGCGAGTGGGCAGGCGCGTTTCCCAGAAGAGCGGGCGGATGCTGAGGTGCGAAAAAAGAGGAGGTAGAGTGATCTAAGGAAGGGGAAGTCGGAAACAAGCGCACGAAGATGGTGGCGAAGCCAATGGTGGAAGGGGTCGGCTGAATGGTAAACAGCTAATACAGGAGGAAGAACACGGGCGGCGAGAAGGAAAGAGCCTTGAGTGAGAAAAGAGTCACTAGTCGTTTGAGGGCGGGTGCTAATAGTGGCATGAAGAAAAGCAAGAAATGACAGAATGTTGATGTTATTGGGTACGCTGGAGAGTGAAACGAAGAAAAGAAATAAGAAGAAAAAAAGAAAATTAATTCGAGGATAGGAATAACCTCAAGGACTACGGTGACCGAGTAAACATAGAAGCTTCGTGATAGGAGGAATGTAGCAACGAAGGGAAATACCGAGTCTGCCGATCACGCGCGAGTCCCAATGTATTTATTTCCTTCGATCCAAATACGAAAGCAATTGCGCCTGCGCGGCGATGCAGCGCAGGCCAGGCTGCTCAGGGCTCGAACACGAGAACGTCGGCCTTCTCAGGGTCTCTCCAGTCCGCCCAGGGCCCCTGCGCCGGCGCCTCGA